ATGTCGGGCCTAGCAAGATGTGACAACCAGAGGCATCTCATCAAGATCCTTGCCGCAAATGCCTGCATCTCACCCTCATGAGCCAGTTGCCTCATGCCAGCAATCTCGCAGTAAAAGCTAGTTATCCCTCTGGAATATGATCTCCTGTCATTTGTCATAAAAACTTGTTTTGGGCTCCTTTGGATTGAGTGCACCCGACCAAGAATCTTCACCTCAATATACTGTTCAGGATCCGTCTTCGCTCTGAACTTCAAATCCTTCCAAAATTGCATTTGGACGTCCTTGTTCCCCCCTGCTAAGGTAAGGTCATCCACATATATGTTTAGGATGAATGTATGTTCAGAGCTGCCGCCATACCTGAAAATAAATTGGATGGGTATGATTCGAGTGGGACGCCACCCATTTCTTGTAGTTGTGTTTCGAGAATGTTGGCCACAGATTTCCACGTTGTGGATGTCCATGAAGTGATTTTATCAACTTCACGGCCAACTTCGTGTTTAGGTCACGATGCCGTTTCCATTCTGGTACCCATGTTCAGAGGGTAATATAACCCACGTGCTGCCATCCAACTTGCATTGCAAGTATGCTCGGATGCAGTCTGCACATGAAACAATGGACATTGCACCGTACCAAAGTGTCAGGTTGAGCGCAGCTATCGTAGCTGGAGTCGTCGCAGTTTCATTTTCTTATATTCGTTATCCTATCACCGCGATACACAATGTCCTTTGTACTGGTGGTATCCTTCAGGCATCTCATGGTGTTTTTAACCTGCAAGTCAAGCCTTCAGCAATCTTGACATTCTCACCGGTCTCTCGCGCCTGGCGTTTCAACAGGTGAAGAGGAAGACCTAAGGCCTCTTTCTCTACAGCCTTGACTGCCTTGTGACAAGCGCTGACACTGAGCTGAGATCAGGAACACTGGTGCACCATTTCTGTGGATACCAAGACCCGAGAATGACTGACACAAACTTCTCTGTGTAAAATCCGGTTTGTTTGGTTTGGCTGCCTTCGGCAGGTTCATGTTCGTGGGAACCATCGCACTGATATTCAGCAAGTACTTTGAGAATCCGTTCATCACAGGACGAAACGCACCAAGGCTTCTTGATTGATGGGTTTGTCTTCACCATGAACACACAACATACAACCATGGAAATATATTCGTCTGAGTCTAAACCCATGATACTTTTCAAATTGCTGAACCTCAGGAAGGCCCCACCATCCGGAGTCTGCTGGCCACTCAATGGCTACCCAACCACCTTCTGAAAGGAGCCTACCCATCACTTGCGATGCCAATCCAAACATCTTACACGCGTTTTTTCTACGGTTCTTTCATTTCTTTTCATATTGGGCACCATACCAATGGATATTCATATGTTGCCATGGGAAAAGTCAGTGCATGGGAGACTCACCCATCCGTCAACACCTGGCCTTTGTTCTACATGTGAGCAACTGAGACACTTGACGACCATCGGCAAGATCAATGGTTTCCCTTGAAAGACGGATACCCTCAACCCCAATAGATTCACACATTTCACCTAATACACGTCTCTAATCAGAAGACCTTGATCTCATTCAAAGCAAACAACGCGGCCGCGGGTCGCGGTGAAACAAAGTCTTGCGATAGGGCGTCGCGGTGAAACATAGTATATAACTCGAGCCAGCAACTCACAGCAATGACTTGTCTTGGATTCTTTCTGAACTTCGTTCAATGGCTTGGCTTCTCACAAAAGACTTCCTTTGAAATCACTTGGGGAGATCGGCATAGATTATGGAGGTTGGAAAATTTATGGATTAGCCGGTGTTGCCTTGCTCGGCAGCACCCCAGCGGTCAAGCACTGTCCTTGGATTTCAAGCAGGGCTCGCTCGACTTGCTTCAGCTGGCAGCCGCTCTAAAGCAGTGAAGCGGTTGGCAGGCTGGGGTCACACTATGTATTAGTCAAGGAATCCACGGGCTTTCAACTCGATATTTGCACAGAGATTCAAAGGTTGGTACACAAGTGGCGGTCGTGTGAGGATGGGACGGCTCAAACCCAAACCTCACAAAATATGTAAATGGACTCACGCTACCGTATGAGGCTGTTAACATGACACATGTGCATAAAGGATGTCATGATATGTGGTGGTTTCACCTACAAATCAATAACTATATATGTATATATGTATATATACATAGACATACATATATATATATGTATGTCTATATATTCATGTATATATATTTATGTATATATAGATGACAAAATCCCAAACCAGGATAGCTCTTCGCCTGAAGAGCGACAGCGGGCTTTTCCACTCTTGAGATCCAAAGTCCCTGCGACGGCTCGAAGCGATAGGATGGAGACATGCAATCCACTGGCTGGTATTCAACGCAAGGCACTGAAATTAACACTGGTATAAAATTCTAAAGTTTTAAAAATTCGAATGCAATAATCGGCTTGCCCCTACAAGCAGATCTTGGACGGATGTGGGCATCAGACCATCCTTATCCTAAGATTACATTCTTACTTCATGCATCGGATGGCATTGGTGCCAAGGATGAAAGGACCTTCCGCAAAGGTCTGCTCATGGTCCTGCTGGTCCATGTAGACCAAATACTGAGCAAAATCTCTGAGAAAACCCAGAGAGGAATATGCACGTGCTTTGCACCACTTGACATACGCAACAGCACGAGGGGACTCTGAATTTCGAAGGGCTATGTATGACTTGGATGAGTCCTTATACAACTTATACATTCCAAAGTCAATCACTGTGCGGCCCCACATCTCACCATTCAAAATGTTGGGAGGCAGGCAAATCTTCTTCGGGTTGGACTTATCAACCTGCTTTGCTTGCAACGACTCACTCAAGGGCTCAGTAGATGGAGGCACTGTAGAAGCGGAGGCATTCCACGGAGCTGCCACCACAGCACTGCCATATCCAGCTTGGGACTTCGGAGGCAAACGCTTGGATGGGGGCTCCTCAGGAACCAAAGGCTCACGACGTTTGGCACCATCGTGCATTGCTCCAGACTCGACCTCAAACTCAGACGGAGAACCACAGGCGATTCAGTCACTGATGTTCACATTTGGATCATTCTCCTTGGCCTTTGCCAGGAGATGCTGCAGCTGGAGGAGCTCCTGCTGATCCAAAGGCATAGCAAAAGGTAACTGAATGAAAGCTGCAAAACAAAACGAATACCCTATGATCGCTTGAGCAACATGGGCTTGGATGAAATTCTGTACATGCCGAAAAAGTGAGTGGAGTATCAAATACCTGAGGCACAGAAAACTACCCATCCATTCGCCCAAGAATGGCCACGTTTCCATGTTCTATCAGACATGATCTAAAGAGTCAACAAACTAATTTCGCTCTGAAAGTGGATTGACAGCTGATACACCTTTCCGCTGTTGGCGACGGCTTCTTTCTTCTGCCTGCTGATCCAAGATGGTCTGTTCCGGCGAGATCTGGTAGGAAGACTTGCGGACGCAAGAACGCAACAAGTCTACTGGGTCGGCACGATCCTTGGTCAAGCCGTCTGCTATCATACGGTTTGTAGGAAGCCAACGGATTGAACCACTGGTGACTGGTGACATTCAAAGACTCTCGAATGATAACAACATCAATGCTCGTTCGCCTGTCATCAATGGACGTGGGAGATGACGGGGATACCAAGTGGTCGAACAGTGATTTGCAGTCAGTTGCATAGATGGGTGACCTTCTACTCATCACCTGTTGGGCTTGGGAAGGATCGAAGGGACCATCAACGGCTTCAGCTAACAAAAGACTTAGCCACTCCGCTGTACCACCAGCGGTGGCCATTGCTTGCGCTTCGCTACCCAACGTAGAATTCACAGCCCTCGGCAACTTGTAACTACGCCAAACTGCAGGAGACCATGGGGAGACTTCACCATCATGCAAACCCTTATCAAAAAAGCTAATGGTGAAACCAGCTTGTGCGTGCAGACCTACATTTGCCCAATCCTAAAGACGTCATATGCTCATGACTTACCAACAAGTTGGTGGACTTCCGGATGAGATTGCAGCTGTCAGGAAGCCTTAAACCATATCGGCACATGTGACATTTGACAACGTGACCCAACAAGGCTTTTACTTCCGAGTAAGACCACGTTCTAGCACCTTTCGGATGCTCAAAAATGGCGTGACGACCTGATTGAACCTGCTGGGTGTACAGCTCACAACAAAAACGGATGTACAACCGGCTTTCCCTTTGTTTCTTCATCTTCTCTTCCAAAGTCAAAAATGAACTGTTCAGATTCCACCAACCTCCCTCATTAGTGCAAGGCGGACACAATACCAACAAATCGGGCGGCTGAGCTTGCAGTTCATGTTTGACCCGATCACGGTCAGCACTCTTCCGGAAATCATTGCCATTGATGAGGTCATACGACCAGGCAGCAAAACCATATGACTCGGCAATCTGAGAAAACCTGGGTGGACTGAAAACTTCTGACACCAGGAGACGCCTACCTTTGACATATGTTCCAGGATACTTATGCTCTTTCCGGATCTCTGCAGCCACCTGACAAATTTGGTGCACAGGCAAGCACTCAGTCGGGCATGCTTTCTCCTGAGGCTTTCTCCTGAGGACAAAGTAGTGTCTCTTGGGGAGATTATGGTCTATCTCTTCATCCAGGATTACTTCATTATTGTCCACGTTAATTACCTTCCTACGGATGATCTGATGCCAAAGGGGACTCTGCTTACCGGTGATGGGCACATACGTTAAACCCTGATCAACCCGGAACCATGACGACAAGGGGTCAGGTCCTGGTGAGTGCACTTCGGGAATCGGATGCTCGCAGGCAACAGGCTCTACACAACCCTCGGGTGATGGCTCTGCATGTTCGGGCAACTCAACAGTTGAAGGCTGCGAATTGGTATCAGCTTGCATGATTTCAGGAAAAACAGCTTCACCAACATCAGACTGACCCAACAGATAGACAACATACTGACCAGCCGCATTAGTCTTCAAAGGAATGACCTTGCCTTCACCAAAGACTTTGAGTTCAGAGGCTCCGAAATCGATCTGAGCCTTCAACGTACGCAAGGCACTACGGGAAATCAGCAAGGGTGCATTGCCCTTCACTACCGCCGCACGGATGGAACCTCTTTTGCCACCCAAAATCACTGGCATGGACACTACGTGAGTGGTGGTCTCTCGAGGCCCATTTCCAAACCGAAAATGATTCACTTCCGGCTGCAACTCAGGCTGATCGACACCATGACTACACCACAGCTGCTGAAATTCACGAAGTGTCTCTTCCCCCACGATCGTTTTGCCGCATCCAGAGTCTAGCACACTAAAGCCTGGACTGGAGACCAGAAACTGCTCATGATCTCCTGGCTCAGGCACGTCATCAGCTCCGTCTGCCTTCAAGCGGGCTCGAAGACGTTGCAGCATAGTGAGGCCATTCCCAACTGAAGCAACAAAATGCTCCACCACTGCAGCACCAGAATCCATTTTGGGTCCAGTACTCGACTTGGATCCACCCTTGCCTGAACCCTTGGACGCAGGATTCTTGCATTCACGGCTCCAGTGACCAATCTGTTGACATCGATGACAGCGGGTGCGCTTCTTGAGCTCCTCGACTTCTACCCTAAAGGATCGTCGAGCTTGGCCAGCTTCGTGAAAGCGTCGAGCTTTCTGCAACTTGGAAAGAGACTTCCTGCGCTCTTGCCACGTCGCTGCTAAGATCTCACGGACGTCAGACTCCTCATAGGAATCAGCCGCTCCATCATCAGCTCCAGCAGTGTCGGCTAAGAACTGTTCAACATCGGCAAACTCAGAATCATCCTCATTTTCCAGAGTGTCTTCATGGCTTGATGGATCATTATTCACTGCAGCGGCACTGAAAACTTTTTTCTTGGGGACGGTGAACTCAGGGTAACAACTTCTAAGGGCTTTTCCTATGTCTTCCCTCTTCAAGCTACCGAGTGAACGCGCTAGTTCTACTGCTCTCTGCTCGGCTGAGAGGCCAGCCCGATTCAAAATGATCCAGCCATGTGCCTCCTCCGGGAAGTTCACCGAGGTCTTGCGCCGGAGACGCTCAAAGGCCTCACTGGCGCGGCTAATCCAGTTCTTCAAGGTTTCACCTTCAGTTGCTTTGAGCTCGAAGATCTTTGTCAGGTTCTCACTCAACTCGTCTGCAGAGTCTTTGGATGGGAATCGAATGCCCAACAGCTCGAAAAGGACTTTCTCTCCCCCTTCCTTCTGGTACTCTGCCACCTCCAAGTGTTCAACTGCCTCCAGTGCTCGGCCTGCTAACATCGTATAGACATAGGCTCCACGGGCTGAAGCCGGTATCTTGTCAGACAGTGTTAGCAGTTTGTTGGACATCCATGTTTTCCAACGTTTGTATTCCTTGTGGTCTTCATCTTCGCCACTGAAGGTTTTTGACCCTCCAAGGTCGACAGTGCCGGAAGCCGATGCCATGGCTCCACAGCGGGAGCCGGGTCCTATTCGAACCCGGCTCCGCTACCAATGACAAAATCCCAAACCAGGATAGCTCTTCGCCTGAAGAGAGACAGCGGGCTTTTCCACTCTTGAGATCCAAAGTCCCTGCGACGGTTCGAAGCGATCGGATGGAGACGTGCAATCCACTGGCTGGTATCCAACGCAAGGCACTGAAATTAACATATGTATGTATGTATATATATATATACCTATATATATATATGTATACCTATATATATATATGTATAATCCCATTCGCCTAAGATTGAGCATGCTCAACACAGGAGGCCGATTCATGAACAGATCCACACTCAAGCGCATGGTTTAGGGAAATTCACATCAGGGGGAAGAGACTAGACTGTTCTTGGGATCTAGCCAGTTCTAACTGGGACACATTTCAATATGTTCGAAAGTTCGAACGTGCGTTGGCCAGGTGGTTCAGCCCTTCCCTCGATTATCATCATCCCCACAAGCCTACTGGAATATATCAAAAGATGTTTTAAAGCTATTCACTTTGACGAAAAAAAGACGAAACATTTCTCCTCCGACCAGGGCGGAGTTGCTGTCGATTTCACTCGCTGTTGAATGTGGAGTGGGGCTTCCATGGAGTTGCCATGATGAAAATCCGCCCGCACCGAAGGTGCTGGGGCGTGATCTTCCGGATGGCACTCGTAAAAGGTTACAGGTTTACCTGGGGGGGGGTGGCATTTTTCGGCCAAAACCTCCTGTTTTTGATAGGTCGTGACGCTCGCCTTCAAAAAACACTATAAAAAACAGCATACGGAAGACACCTGTTCGTGAACGCGCCCGTCCAAGCGAAAAGTGAAAAAAAACCGTGTTTTTCAACTTTTTGACCTCAATTTTTTGGTTTGCAACATCTTTTTTTGCGGTTCCGCAGGTGGCCGGGCCCGGAGGCGGATTTTTGAGTTTTTGGACCCGTTTTCGGACTGATTTTCGTCGTTTTGTGATAACAGAAACACTGGTTTTTACAATGTTTTTCTGTTTTCTGCATGCTTGACGGCTAGCTTCAAAACTTCGAATGAAAACATCGTAAATACCAGTGTTTTTTCACGTTGGTTAAAAAAACACTGTAAATTACAGTGTTTTTGGCCACCTGACCCTCAAAAACCATGGTATTTGCAGTGGTTTCTGCTTCTCACCGCGCAAAAACACTGTAAATAACAGCAATTTCGCCGTTTTTTCATGTTTTTCGTTATTTTTTGAACTGCGTTGGTCCGCTATACATGGCTATCAAATTCTTCGCGTTTTTTTTCCGACAATCAGTACTTTCGGATGTTTTTGGTCTCAATGGCCGACATCATTGGCAGTTACGAGCGGCTGCCCCACGATGCGGTGCGGGCGGTTGCCGTCGCGAAGCGACGTGAATAATTCGTTTGTCCCTTTTTCTTAAGTTTTTCTTTACCCCAGTGAAACAAATGAACATCGGTATATGGTGTGTATATATATATGTATAATTATATAATGTAATTACCCGAAATAGCAATTTGAATTGAGAAATGATGAGAAACCGATGGATTTGGGGGTATGCTATTTTCAGGCAAACCGACTTCCGGGATGTTCATCAGCAAAATTACCAAAAACGCCATAAGAGGTTAATCTCCAGTCAGAAATTCCCAATTCTTCATCTATGGCTATATGCATGATTCCTGACCACCTCCAATACATCGGACGCTATAATAGTACATACAGGAATCAAACATCAACGTCCGCTACCGTGACTAATACGTATAATCCACTGCATGTTTAACTCAAGACTCTTGTGTATCCTGTGGTAATCTAACGTAGCAAAGAACAAAGCCCAGTTCATAGATCATTTGCCTATGAATTTCAAAGAGTTTAGAAGGTTGGGTTGGATTCACAGGGTAAAACCAAAACCGTCTGCCTGACGGAGAGTTCTTTTGAGAGCGGCAGGTTGTCAGAGTGCACAAGCTTTCATCATGTTTCATCATGATATGCAGAGAGATCATGGCCTAGAGTCTAGAGGATTTACAATATTTTACAATAAATGAATAAAGTAACATGTGTGTTCATATGACTACAAGTAGTACCCGGGCAAGCTGGGGGCGGAAGTTTCAAAATTGCTGGGATCAACTGCCTACAAATTGGCGCCACTGGCAGCTGGGTGAATGGATCTGTTCATGGTTTCATTCGTCAGATAATGATGTAATGTGGGTAAAACGATCATGAATTATCTCCAAGTCACCATTTTTATAGGTGGTATGTTTACCACTGAAACGGGTGCTAAAAATGGCATTGTTTCACCCACATTACAGAGGTGCGCTTTGTGAATTTCGATCCAGGGGGATCTCACCAACCATGAGCCGATGGTAAAGCAACTCCTGCAAAATCTTGCCCGCACTTGAAAAAAACTCTTGTCGATTATATCGCATTGATTCTCTATCCCAATTCGTGTTGCTTACGTATCCCTGTCCCCACAAAATCCTCCGGGTCTCCAAACCTATTGAGTCCCCCCACCGTGAATCCAGCCTCGGGCAGCCTCCATGCAGAGTACCGAGAGTCCGATGGTGTCCTGGCCAAGGCCCTGCTAAACTCTGAGGTTTCATGGAGATTCTGCGGATTCCCAGGTCAAGTATGATCCCTTCCCACTAGTTGGATGTGGTGATCGTAAGTCCCCGCTTGTTTGTTCCATCTATAAAGAGTCCATTTTCGATAGCTACGAGCCCCGTACTTATGTCACATCAGGCGGGGAAAAGTCACAACAACCCCGTGGCACAGTGTCAAAACAGAAAAGTCACAGGCCACAGGTGGTGGAAAGTCATATCAGGGAATGACAGACCCCATGGCACAGCCTGTGTCATCTGGTATGTTGCATCACCGGAAGATAATCCCATCCCCATTGTTTTTTTAAACATCCCAAAAAAAATACGTGGTGGATGGGGATTTCCCCATAGTTGGGACCATACCAGTGGGCACCCCCCTACCCCCAAGAAATCAACCCAGTAACGGTACTGTGCTCTGGATCTGCCCGCCATAGTTGACAGCCCGGAGCGTTGATTGAAACCTCCTGGCGTATCTGGACTGAGTTTGGTCTGGAAATCTTGGAAAATTGGATCAAATGAGGGAAAGAAACAGGTTTTGCCAGACAAAATTGGGAGTCAACCAACAAAAGATTAAGGTTCATCTAACAAAAGATGAGGATTCACACAAGAAAAAGCTTAATAGTAGTAAAAAACAAAAACGGATAATCATCAACCAACTGTCGTGCATCAATAGCCAATAGCCCTAATTCTTGGGTAGACACCCTCAATTTCATGGTCGGATCCCCTTTCAATAACTCCTTAAGCAGGACGGGGTTCTCTGGACGTGACATTTTGGTCGCTCCTTGAACGATCCTGTGACGTCAAAGCCGACGTGGAGAGATCCTTCGTGGCATCCAAGGCCAGTTCTAATCCACCTCTGCGAAAAGTTGTTGCTGGGACATACTGGGATCTATAGTGACATTCATTTCGTGGAATACATCACCAAACATGTGATTCAAGTTTGTCTCGAAATGGTGACTTTAACATCATTCAACCAATCAAAAATGGTGTGAAGCTGTTGATGGATTATTTTCATGTGGGATATCATGGGATATATAGCCACCCATGACATTGGTGCAATTTTCTCCCTGGCTAGAAAATCCCAACTTTATGGATGTTTGGTGGAGGATTGTCCAAAGAATCTTGCAGATCTCAAAAACACAGAACAGTGAAACAGCATCAAACTAGTACCTGGGAATAATCAAGTGACACACCAATAAATTTTCGTGGGGAAATATTGTTAGTCGAAAGCCCTTTTTCAAGTGCTGAAAATCCCTGAGAAGTCCCTGATTCCTGGGGTAACATCACATTTATTTGGTGAAAAAGATGGACTGACTGGTGAAATGCTGGCCAGTTGGCTACTTGGAGTATCGTCCCACGGAGCGCGACGAAAAGGTTCCAAGGTCCCAAGATGTCCCAAGGTCATTAATCTATGAAGAGATTGCTGCGATGATCCAAATTATTGGCTACAAAAGGATTGGGCTACACCTACGAATGGTTTGAAAATTCTAGAAGTGGTTCGATTCAGGAGACAATATTACTATCTAACACAGCTATGCCATAATATGGTTGAGAAACTCTATTCATAGCTCCTTGGTTCCCCCTTTAGTAGGTAACATTGATACCCATAGCTCCGAACACTTCCCTCCATTCACCACTGGATAAGTATATAGTTTCCTTCACCCTCCACTGGTTCTTTTTCCGGGGAAAGGCCTGATGTAGGTGATTATCCAGTCACCTTTGGCAAATCATCCACCTTTGGTTCTTAAAATATTCCCATTCCCATCGCTTTGGCAGCGGTGACAGGAGAACTTGGATAAATGTGGCACTAAAACTGGGATCATCTGGGGGAAACACCATGTGGCGGTGAATTTTCTGGGGTGCCAACGCTCCCGGCTCCCGAGCGGCGAGGCGGCCCCGCGTCACCTGGGATTTCTTGTTCCGCCACTTGTGCTACACATGCTGGGCACCCCTGATGGAACACCAAGGGAGCGTCGAAGCCTCGAAGAGCCTACGAGGCCCAGGCTTCACCCAGTTGTGAAGCACTATGGTTATTAGCCATAACCAATCTTTCATAGTTGGGACTAATTGGGTTCCTTTAAAAAGTTATAGATATTCGTACACCATCCCCAATTCGACTGTAAATGGGTGTATAAAGCATCAAATACTAGAGATGTCAAAAATAGAGGTGTAAAGATTGGTAGAAAGAAAGACAGACAGACAGACAGATAGAGAGATAGAGAGATAGAGAGATAGAGAGAGAGAGAGATAGATAGATAGATAGACAGACAGACAGACAGATCAGATAGATCAGATAGATTACATATAGTAGATAGATTAGATAGATTAGATTAGATAGATTAGATAGATTTGATAGATTTGATAGATTTGATAGATTTGATAGATTTGATAGATAGATTAGATAGATTAGATAGATTAGATAGATTAGATAGATTAGATAGATTAGATAGATTAGATAGATTAGATAGACTAGATAGACTAGATAGATAAGATAGATAAGATAGATAAGATAGATAAGATAGATAAGATAGATAAGATAGATAAGATAGATAAGATAGATAAGATAGATAATATAGATAAGATAGATAAGATAGATAAGATATATAAGATAGATAAGATAGATAAGATAGATAAGATAGATAAGATAGATAAGATAGATAAGATAGATAAGATAGATAAGATAGATAAGATGGATAAGATGGATAAGATAGATAAGATGGATAAGATAGATAAGATAGATAAGATAGATAAGATAGATAAGATAGATAAGATAGATAAGATAGATAAGATAGATAAGATAGATAGATAGATAGATAGATAGATAGATAGATAGATAGATAGATAGATAGATAGATAGATAGATAGATAGATAGATAGATAGATAGATAGAGAAATAGAGAGAGAGAGAGAGAGCGATGGAGAGATGGAGAGATGGAGAGATGGAGAGATGGAGAGGCCGACGGATAGATGGATCGATGGATGGATGGACGGATGAATGGATGGATGGATGGATGGATGGATGGATACCGAGATAGATACGGAGATAGAAGTAGATATGTATCTCTATATATAAGATATCTGTGCTTTAATGCTTTTGTCATTATAATGTATATAGGTTATGTATGGAATGAGAGCTGTCCTTCAAAGGTATGATCTAATGCAGCCGTTCGGATGGCCAAGAAACCCCAAAAATCCCCACTCTTACTGGTTACCCTCTGGTAATCAAATGTGGCAATGGGAAATCCTCTGTACAGTATATAATAGTGTGTTAAGGGGAAAATCATCTATAAATGGAGGATGTTCCTTTGCCATGTTTGATTACTGGCGGATAACTCACTGATGATAAACCATCAAATTTAGAAAGTCAACAATGACCACATTAAATATCCAATTTTATAATGAGGAACATCCCGAGTAAGATTAACGTGTGTTTCCCCTTTGTGCAACGGTCAAAAGAAAGTATATGTGGTATTGTCATCCATCCCATTCCACGGGGTTCCTGGAAAATTGGCAAATAAATTCCTGGACTCCCTACAATGGAATGATAGATATTTCATTGAGTTTGTGAGTCTCATTCAATATACTGGGAATGATAGATCTCTCCTACAATGGGACTCCTAAATTCCTTCAGTTCTTGAGCAGATGGTCATCAGTGGGTGTATCAATCTCTATGAAAATGGATTGATGACCATCCACTGGGCAACTGAGCAAGTCACCAAAATGGCTTGACCAAGAAACATACGCACGTATACATATCTCTATATACATCGATATATCTACATATCTTTATACTTCTATCTGTATATATATATACTATGTACATATATATATATGTATATCTATATTCTATCTATCTATATATATATATATATCCACATATAGACATATATATATATGTACTATTCTTTATATCTACATATTTTTCACTTATGTATCTACATATTGTTTCACTTATATATCTACAAATCTATATATCTATATCTATATATATATATGTATTTCTATACCTCTAAATATATATTTATATATCTATATATCCGTAAATCTAAATCCATATATATATATATGATTATATATGTATATCAGAAATCGGCATATCTATATCTATATATCAATATATCAATATATCAATATATCTATATATCTATATATCTGTATATCTATATATCTATATATCTGTATATCTATATATCTATATATCTATACATCTATATATCTATATATCTAGATATCTATATACCTATATATGCATCGATATATCGACATGTCGATATACCTGTATGTACATATTTATATATATATATATACATAGCTAATATATCTATATATCTTTATACCTTTATTTATATATATACATTGATCGATATATCCACATGTTGATATACCTCTATATATATATTCTATATACCTACATTGTTTTACTTTTATATCTATATATCTATATATCTATATATCTATGTATCTATATATCTACAATATCTATATATCTATATATCTACATAACTCCATATGTCTGTATATCTATATATTGACATATCTACATATCTTCATATCTATATATATATTTAGATCTATACCTATATCTATCTATATTTCTATATATCTATATGTACATCGATATATCGACATATCGATATACCTGTATGTACATATATATATGTATGTATCTATTCAATGTATCTATATATCTTTATACTTTGATATGTATATATCTATCTATATATATATTGATATATCCATATATCGATATACATATATATATATACTATATATATCTACATTTTCCTTTATATATCTATATATATATTTGTAAATATATATATATCTATTTATATACACATCGATAAATCAAAATATCGCTATACCTGTATGTACATACATATTCATATATATACAAATATTCAATAAATCTAAAATCTTTATACCTTTACATATATATATATATATCGACATATGGATATACCTTTTATATATATATACTCTATGTTTTTTTAAATATATATATACATGTATTGAAAACTATATATCTATATATCTTTATATCTATATATATCTATGTATCTATTTATACATATAAATACATATCAATATATCTATGTATCTGTATCTACATGTCTAAATATCTATATATATATATTTATTTATCTACATATATATATATACATATCTATATAGATATATATATATATATATCAATATATCTATGTATCTATATCTACATATCTAAATATCTATATATATATATATTATCTATATATCTATATATCGAAATCTATATCTATATACCTATATATCTATATATCTCTATATACCTATATACCTAAATACCTATATACCTATATACCTATATACCTATATACCTATATATATATCTTTATATATACATATATATACATCTTAAATATCCATATATATATATATACATATATCTATATATATATACCTAAATATCTATACATATCTATATATATCTATACATATACACCTATATATCTATATATCTATATATCTATACATCTATATATCTATATATCTATATATATATCTATATATATATATCTATATATATATAGCAATATATATACATATATCTATATATATAGCTATATATATATCTATATATATATGTTTATTTATTTGTTTACCTATTTATATTTATATATATTTATCAATATATCTATTTACCAATATGTATATATATATACCTATATATCTATATCTATATATGTCTATGTCTATAAATATATATACATATATGTATGTATCTATATATATATATACATGGATCAACAAGTGCTTTGGACATGCCTGCGACATGCAAAACAGCCGTCAGCCGTTCACCAACAAGGAGATGAGCCACTAGGTGGGCTACGAAGAAAAAAGAGGTTACACTTGGTAACTCTGGTTGGTAAGTCCCTAAGTAGGTCTAAAAACCCTTGATCTGGACCCATGTCTGACCCCAAACCTAACTTTATATCTCTGCCTTCTCTTCATTTTAAAACTATGCCCCAATGATTATATAGAAATTATAAAAGATTCTCCTACACATGGATCCAGTTCTCTCTGGGTTATCAACATGCTCATAAACCACTTATGATGCCTGGGATTCATATCCAAGTTCACTGCTCCGAGCAGGGATCGGAAAAGTGAGAGGCCCAATGGAGAAACGTAGGGGTTTCACCAACGGAAAAAGGGGAATGACCAGCCCAGGGTGGGAATTCAACCAATCATGGATAAAGCTGATAGGGATTTGACGATGTGACCAGCCAAAACTGCATGACATGGGTATACCGGCCAAAGAAATATATTGAAGCACCAAAAATAGATAATCTCACTTTTTTCAGAAGACTACGTCACATTAAGTCACCATGCTGCCATGCTTATAGACTACATCCCTCAGTTCCCCAGCGTCGCTGGTGCAACCGTTGCAAATCCAGGAGAAATGACCCCATTGAAATCGGTGTTTGAAACAAGCCTGGATTTGGGCCCTCATTTCAGACGAAAACCTGGAGAAACTCATGATAAACCACCTATAGTGACTAGGGGAAACAAAAATCTTGAGATAGCCCAACTTCTCATGCTTATCACCGTTGTGATCTGCTACCCCTTTCCTTTCCGGGCTTTGAGTCATCCAGGAAATCCAGGCTGGACAGTCGAAAAAAGACTTGGTGCCAACAATAAAAAGCTTCGGATCCAAAGGTCATTGTGCCAGTTGTGGCTGGGAAATCAACAAAGTCTTTGCTCACGAGTTCCACCTGTGACTTTTGAGAATTCTCCACGCCTCGTGGCCTCTTTTGCCAAGCAATGCCTTCAAATTGGGTCCTGCCAAATTCTGGGAGGCCAAGCCAAGCCCGCAAAAAAAGGTGGAGAAATGGGTCAAAAATACCATGGGCATAGCAGGATTCATGGACCAGGTGCTGCTTTCAGTGACCCAATCGCCTCTTTCGGGGGGAAGGTGGCTGTGCTTGATATGCCCATGAAAAATGGCGATCTCTCGGACTGGTGGTTTCAACTCTCAAGAAAAAATTGTCAGGATTATATTTCCGTTAAATGGGATGGCAAAGAATAGCGACGCCGCTTTCCCAGCATTGTTCACAGATTTCCACTTGATTGGCAGTGGCAGTGCTCACCCAAGTTAGCCATTTGAAGGTATACCCTCCGGCAATCTAACATAGGATGAATAGTGAATAGTTCTTCGGATCCAATTATCCTCATTGAAACCTAAAAAACACTTGGGCATGGTCAAATACTACACCTTACTCTTTACAGAGGTAAATATATGGGTATATGATACGGTATATGTACATTTTGTTTTCTTGCTCCTTGGCTGCCGTGCTGAAGAGCCAATTCATCAAGCCAGTACCGAAATCTTCCCAACCTATGGTTTGGACACCGACTCCGCAGGTTTTCCCAGGTCAAAATTGGGTACCAAGATGTACCATTCGCGGAACAGGCTCAACGTTTCTTGGTGGTTCACCCTTAGTAGGCCATAAGTGGACAAGGCCTACTTGTCCTAATATCTAGGGTAGAATCACCTAAGTAGGGTGCAGCAACAAAAGTATGGTCTATGGTCTGGTTGAAGGTGTCGGAAGCACATCCAAAAATAGCCATCATGTTCCCTACCTTTCTTACCACCGGTGGCGCGTTCCCTCGGCTCCTCGGCCTTGAATGGCTGCTGGTCCGATGGATCTCACGTGACCTCGATGAAGTTTCGCTTCATTCTCGGGCGTTGTCAGGCCCAGAAGATACTCCTCCCACCATGAGGCAAATCTGCGGCCCACGAAAATTGAATGATGTGGAATCACCTGTAGGTGATGGAATCCTTCTGATATTGAAAAGATATGGATATTAATGATATACCTATGAAAAAGCATGGTGTCCATAAATCTTATCATCGTATGTGCATATATATATAGTATTATATATTTTATATATACTGTCTATATATATATATATTGTATATGCATATGTCTATATATATAGTCTATATCTATATATATATTGATATACATATATATATATGTATATATATATTGTATGTGTATATTTCAAAGCCCAGGCATTTGCCGTGTATATATATATATATGTTGTATATATATATATATTGTATATATATATAGTGTATATATATATTGTATATATTATATATATTGTATATATATATAGATATTGTATATATTATATATATTGTATATATATATATTGTGTGTCTATATATATATATATGTTGTATATACATTTATATATATATATATTGTATATATATATATCTATATTGTCTATATATATATATTGTGTATATATATATATTGTATATTATATATATATTGTATATACATATATATATATTGTATATACATATATATATATATGTTGTATATATATATATTGTATATATATATATATATTGTATATATATATATTGTCTATATATTGTATATTATATTGTATATTATATTGTATGTGTATAAATACGTTGTATATATTGTATGTGTATGTATATATATATTGTATATATATATAGTGTATATATATTGTATATAGATATATATACAATATATATATTGTATATACATTTATATATATAGTGTATATATATATACATTGTCTATATACATATATATTGTGTATATTATATATATATATATATATTGTGTATATATATATACATTGTATATATATAGTGTGTATATATATATATTGTATATTATATTGTATATTATATTCTATATTATATTGTATGTATATATATATATATTGTATATATTGTATGTGTATGTATATATATATATATTGTATGTGTATATATATATATTGTATGTGTATATATATATATTGTGTACATATATATATTGTATGTATATATATATATATACATATTGTATATATATATTGTATATATATATATTGTATATATATATATATGTGTGTTGTGTATATATATATGTGTGTGTTGTGTATATATATATATGTGTGTTGTGTATATATATATATATGTTGTGTTACTATATATACATATATACCTCGTTTTTCTGACCAGTTGTCTTTCGGTTGATTTGCTGTACTCGGTTGCTGGCATTGTCAAGTACAATGCCCCCAACAGCGGTTGGGGCCCCCTCTGCCTTTAGGAACGATTTGCGGTATACCCCCCAGTTCTGGCATTCATAGGCAAAATGTTGATCAACCCTGGGATTTTTCAAATTGTGCCTATGTTCAAACCCATATGATGATTTTTTTCCATTCAAAAACCGAATTGTAGCAAACTTTCCAACCAGGCTGCTCCCGCATATGCCCAGTGGGATGATCGTCGAGTGTCCATCTGTATCAATCCTCTGCTGCACCAGCTTTCGCTACGTTTGTCTTGTTGTATTTGAATAGTATTCTTGATGTTGTGATAAGGAAAATTGAGTTCACTGCTGAGTTGAGCAGGATCCAGGCTGTACATCCACAACCGGTAACTACCGGGCACCAGGCGTCGCTGGCGCCTTGCAGGCACGTGGAGATACAAAGTTCGCAAACCTCAGCTGAAAAATCAGCCAGCCTTTTTCGAAATCCCAAAGGCTTAGGTTTCTTATCCCAGAGCTTTCGGCAAGCGGGAATGGTAAGTGGATGTAAGTGGTGAGCGTGAAATGAGTCTACTGTAGTCATTCCAGTGATGCATGTTCTTGCCTGCAACTGAGAGACACTTCCTTAATTTCATATTGAAACGAAAAAAATGCAAATCCGATAGGAAACACACTTCTTCCAGACCCCATTTTTAGGGTTCCATGGCTACTGACCAATTAGCAATTGGGATCAGGATAATCGTGGAAGATCCTGCAAGTATTCCCTTGTCAAAGTGCCCACATGGTCTTTTTTGCCGGCAAGAAAGAGAAAGAACGAAACTCCCGTGGCCAGCCTTTTGTTTCGGACTATAGAACTCACCAACACGTGCCATGACATGACTCAAAATCAAACGCGCGGCCAGTGTGATGCATTTTGTCACTAACTTGGTGGCTTAATTGGCACCCTACCTTTTGAGCCAACCCCAACAAACCATGAAAAATATGATTGTCTCAAAAAATCGAAGTCCAGTAAACCATCCCCTGCTTTATCGTAATCGTCCCTAGTTTTTGACCTATAGGAACTCAAAAAAATCCGAACCGGTAGAATTTACCACTCTTAAATTACCAAATTCTATCTTTTGGGGGTTTCTGTAGTGGCTACAGTGGGGCGCCCCATCTCGCGCGAATCCGAGGTACCCAAGGCCTATGTTGGAAGCACCATCCGTCGTCCACGGGACGTAAATGTAATCAAACCTCGGGCGCACACAAAACCTCAAAAACCCGGAGAAGAAGCTGGCAACGTAACGTATCATGACATAATGTATGTCTTAAACATGTGGATGGGCCACAATTATAGAACGGAATTAGGAGTACAAAAGTACGGAATTTCTTTCGTACTCCTCCGGATCGCGATTCCGCGCGGATTCGGATCCTGTTCTATGACCAATTTTTGGCTGTTCTATAATTTAATTTGTGCTCCTCAACTTCCGTTCTACAATTGTGGCCATGACCATTTGGATATTATGTACATAATTACATGATATCTACATATATCTACTGCATATGTATACATAATTACACACATACTGGATATTATGTACACTAGGCAGAATGTTCCAGTGAGCTATTTGAAGGCCCACAATCTGCTACAATACAAATCTGGAGGAGGGGATGCAAAAAAGGCAGTTTGCTCAGCTTTGGGACTGTGGTGTTGTGTTTTCAAACCCTCAATGGCCATTTCAGGGACTTATATAAATTAGAGGTACCTACCGCATAAAAGCCCTATGTAAGGTCTATGTAAGGGAATATTGCCATACATACCCCAAAGAATATGGCCTTATGTATATGGTACAGTACATACCTCGGTCCTCAAATTCGGCAACACGCAGATTGTGTGAGTCTTGGAGGTTACTTACATGTATTTACATCATTTTATGCATCTTTCTGGGACCCCAAAAGAATGTACATAGAAACCAGAATTATAGAACAGAATTATTGCAAAATTAATTATAGAACACGCAATTATAGAACATTGGTAAATGTGAGAAATATGAACACAATTCAACAAGAATTTTAGAAAGACAAAAAAAGTTAGGAGTAAGTTGAGAGTATTTTTTTTCCACGGTTCTGAGGAAACAGGAATTATGGAACAACAGGGTACGGTAAACAGCCGTACTTTCATACTCCTCAACTTCCGTTCTAGAATTGTGGCACATACCATATACATATATAGACATACTGGGGGTGTTCCAAGATAGGGTACACCTCCGGATCTCTTGGTATACTCCATCAATGTTCCGATTAAGATGACCATGAAGTACAAACCCATTTTTCTATTAAAGTAACTATAATTCCATACAATTCAAAAATCAGAAATGGGTTGGTTCTCCCAATCCATTCCCATCTTGGGTAAGGTCGGCAAGGTCGTTTTTGTGGGTTTACCCATATATTAATGTCATATGTCTACATTTTTTGATGCACATCTGGCTGAATCATGGCCAACCTGAAATGGTTCTATCCCATCCATCCGCTGGAAAGATTCATGAAGGTGATTAAATTCATTCTGGTCTATGGCATAATTCTGGGAAAATCCTGGGATGATGAGATATTTCTGGGATACTTATGGGATAACTCTTGGATACGTCATGAGATTATGATAGTAAAATAATGGCAATAATCATCATCAGAATAATTATAATTCACATAACATAATATCATAATAAAAATAACAATCATCATCATCATAATGATGTTATTGTTTGCCATTAATACTGTTATTATGGGGCCATAATACTGTTATTATGACCATAACAATGTTAGTTATATAGTACCATAATGACCATCAAATGGTCCCATAAACCTGGCCCAAGGCACATGCCTGGCCTGTCGCACGTATCAGCCCTCGGATCACGGATCGATGAAAAAAAAACACGATCTGTCCATCTATCTGGAAACATATACACAAATATATGTATATATCATTTTGTATCTGTTTAACAATCAATCTATCTATCTGCCTACACACCATAGTATAGAATAAATAAATAAATAAATAAATAAATATATACATATATATATATATATGGGTGATGATTTTTGTTAAAGGATTCTTTTTGTTTTTCAGTCTGGGGGAGTTTTCCTTGCTATTTGCTACATTTTGGGGCCAAAATCTCTGATGTGCGTGCTATTTGCTGCGTTTTGGAGCTAAAATCTCTCTGATTCGCGTGCTATTTGCTGCGCTTTTGAACTAAAATCTCTCATTTTGCATGCTATTTCGGAGCTGAAGTCGCAAATTTGGGTAGCTAAAATCGTAAATTTGCGCGATAATTGCAACATTCTAGTTTTCACCCATTTTCCCATGGTTTTCAACGAAGTCTGGATGGTTTTCATCGCTTTCTTGATCGTCTTCAATGATCTTTCCGTGGTTTCAAAGATTCTTTAGGGTTTCTTCTAGGGTTCTTGAGGGTTTAGGGTTTCATTTAGGGTTTCATTTAGGGTTTCTTTAGGGTTTCATTGAGGGTTTCATTTCGGGTGTCGTTTAGGGTTTCTTTAGGGTTTAATTTAGGGTTTCTTTAGGGTTTCATTTAGAGTTTCTTTAGGGCTTCTTTTAGGGTTTCTTTAGGGTGTCGTTTAGGGTTTCCCTAGGGTTTCTTTTAGGTTTCTTTAGGGCTTCATTTAGGGTTCCTTTAGGGTTCCTTTGGGGTTCCTTTCGGGTGTCGTTTAGGGTTTCTTTAGGGTTTCTTTTAAGGTTTCTTTAGGGCTTCATCTAGGGTTCCTTTAGGGTTCCTTTAGGGTATTATTTCGGTTTTCATTTAGGGTTTTTCTTTAGCGTTTCTTTTAGGGTTTCTTTAGGTTTAGGGTGTCGTTTAGGCTGGAGTTTCTTTAGGGTTTCTTTCAAGTTTTCTTAAGGGTGTCATTTAGGGTTTCTTGAGGTTTCTTTTATTGATGGTTTCGTTATTTTCTTACAACAGCATGCATACAAGCTCCTATACTCTATGTCTGTAGTTTTTGTGCAGTTTATATGAAATAAACATGCAATGTGTTACATGAAATGTTATATGCAAACTACAATACTAAAACCCAACCAAGAGCCATGTGAAGTGAACGGCCAAAACCAAAGCCAAGTGAAACCAAAACCAAAAGCCAAAAGCCATGAGCCATAATCCAAGTGAAGCCAAGTGAAGCCAAAGCCAAAAGCCAAAAGCCAAAAGCCAAAAGCCAAAAGCCAAAAGCCAAGTGGGCACGCAAATGGGAGATTCTAGCTCCAAAATGCATGCAAAACACAGATTTTAGCTCCAAAATGCGGCAAATAGCAAGGAAAGCTGCCCAGGCTAAAAAACAAAAACAAAAATCCACCCTCCATATACATATGCTACGGCGATACGTAGAAAAGCCAGATTGGTGCAGACTAATAATCCAATAAACGAAATTACGGAGCCAAATCCGCTCAATGAGGTGAACAAACCATGAGGACCCCTGACCGTTTGCAGCTGTCGGTGATAGTGAACTATCGACGAACAAGAAAGAAACTGATGATGTCTGTTATATGATGATCTGCCAACTAGTGCCAACTATCATTCATCATGCTTTTTGAGGCTCACGGTGTTGTTTGGGTTCAAACAACGACATGCAGTGATTCATTTCTGGTTTGGTGTCCGGTTGCTCGACCCTTATCGATTCCAAACCACCATGACCCATACTAGAGATACAACATGATGCAACGTAAATAATTCAACAGGATCAATTTTGGTAAAATATTGCAAAATCATGTGCAATATAACAACGAAATCAAAAATGCCTGACATCATTCACCACTGTTTTCTCCATCATTCACCGCTGCTTTCTCCATCATTCACCGCTGCTTTCCCATTCAGCCAAAGCACAAAATAGTGACAAACATCTCTCTGGTGATGTTTCGTTTCAAGCCGCGCATGATTAAGGTGGTACTGGTGGCATAGACATCTTCGATGCGAAACTCGGGAGGCTCCTTTGCTGACCCCATGATGAATCGCCCTTTCTGAGCAACGTGAAACTTGCTGCAGGATTTTGGACACGAAGTTTCGGCTGAAGTCGGAAACATTCGGAAAACCGTGAGATCTTGGAAAGGTCAAGCTGGTGTGGTTGTTTTGACCCAAATCTCCAACTTGATTGTTGCCAGCAAGAAAACATCTTGGAACGCCTACATCCCGCATCAAAACATGTATTCCATGCCCTCAGTGGTGTTATCACCAATCCACCATTCGAAGACAAAATCCTGTGAACATGATTCCTCTATGAAGAAACACTTCAATGAACATCTACTTTTCGATTCCATTCACCCCTGCAGCCAGTTTTACACCAGCTGGACGTGTACTTCAGGAAGTCAGCCATCCTACCATCCAGGCAGCCTTTTTCAGCCCGATTTCCCGGTTCGAGGTGATCAAGAGCTCGGATCCAGTGAACTAAGCTGGGAGTCTGGGAAACTGTCTGGGGATTCCGTTGAAATGGAACAGTTGGAACAGTTGGAACAGTTGGAACAGTTGGAACAGTTGAAGGTGGACAACTGGATCCAGTGTCGTTCGCTGTTCATTTCGCAAAAAGGTGGAAAAGGTGGCCAATTGAGATGTCCCGATACCTGACACCTTGTGGTGCCCTGATCGAGAGCCACTGTATGATACGGCCCCGGTAGGCTAGGGGTCCAAGAATCAACGCCGAGGGCTAGACCACCAACTAGACACAACCCTGGAGCACTGTACTCCCAATGGTTTTTGAAGCATTCCAAACCAAGTCACATTATTTCTACAGTTTCAGATTTGGCAAAATGTCAAATCGATCGAGAGTCTAGTTGGTACTGAGGGAATCCATCTCCCGCCCTCGCAAGAGTCCAGTTTGGCGTTCTCAGCAGCAGCCGCTGGACTTCTTCTTCTTGCTCTTCTTGCTCTGGCGCAGCATTGGAGCATTGACAGGACAACAAATGACTTCCCATGAAATTCAAGAGTTCACAGCTGCCCCGCCAAATGTACCCCAACCAACCAATATTCTTTTTTAAAAAAATGAATAGACTGGTTGATGGTGAAAAGTTAGCTTTCAAAACAGTTCTATTTCTTGGAATCCTTCTCCTCTTCGCACACGCCTTGGGGGCGGCGCCAGTTTTGATTCCGGCGGTGCCGGTGGTGATCACAAAGCTCTCGCGGGCCTCGATGGAGTGAGTTCAGAGCAATGTATTTGGTCCAAAAAAAAACTCTCGCAGGGCCCCAAAGACTGGTATTTCACACCTCATTGGATACCTTCAAATTAGAAGGTTGACAACGAAAATGGTAAAAATGACAGAAGATGGTTGCATGGAATCTTCAAACTTGACCCAAACCCAGGTAAGGTTTAGCAAGTCAACAACAATGAGTTGCAGAGCGAAACATTCCGAGTTGACCACCAGTGGACCATCGGGGTAGACATTAGAGAAAAAGGGCAAGTTTGGCATGCCCAACATTTGGGATACCCCAAAGCCACATCGCACCCCATCAAATGGAAGATTTTGGGGGCCAAGAACTGGAATTTCAATGAGTCGTATGTTCGTTCTGAGTTTCTCATCTTTTGTTCATCAAAGATACAATACATCGCAGTGCTTACCGGTCACTATCATCACTACCAACATCTCGGGGTTTTGTATTCACGACGGCAAGAGTCTACTTCGGTCCCCACATTCACCAGTTTGCCTGAGCAAAAGTAACCCCGGGCCTTGTCAGTCATCAGGTGGCCCTCTTGTGGCGCTGTGTGACCTTCTGGGTGAGCCGTGATGATGAATCCGGGCGGCAAAGCCTCGCCGGGTGCGAACCACTTGCCCTGAGAGTGGTCCAGGCCGCCTCAACGGTTGCATGGGGGACAGACTGAACCAATGGTTCACTAAGTTCACCAGGTTTCCGTCCCAGAAAATTTGGGGTTTTGTTGGTATATTTTACATGAAACCCCAGTTCCCAACGCTCAAAAAAATTGAAATTGAAAGAGAATCGCCTTCGAAGTCCTAAGGATTTACGAAATACGTTTAGTTTGCCAGTAGTACTGCACAAAGTGGTGGCGAAGTTTCAAAGATGGGAAACCTATAGGAGAGGTGCGTTGTTGTGATACATGGATGGCACAGCGAACCCACTGATGGATCGAATTGACGCGGCTCTGCACCAAACTCTCCCAGACCTTCTCCGGAACCTTCTCCGCTCCGGAACCTTCTCTCCGAAACCCTGTTCAACCTGACCTGGCTCTGCACCACACAGGCTCCTTTACACACAGACAGTTTTACACACAGACGCTTTTTGCAGGCAGACGGTTTTACACACACACACACAGGCTTCTAGCCAAATGGCGTGTTATGCTGGGGAACTCGCTTCGAGACCTGACCCGCCGCAGCATAATAACACGTTTTTTATCAGATTTCTACTGTTGTTGTTGTTGTTGTTGTTGTTGTTGTTGTTGTCGTTGTCGTTGTTGTTGTTGTAGCGTACTGTGTTGCCGTGTGGTGTAGTGTAGTGTCGTGTCGTGTCGTGTAGTTGTAATGTAGTTGTAATGTAGTTGTAGTTCCCGTTATCATTGTAGCTGTAGCTGTAGTTATCGTTGTCATTGTAGTTGTAGTTGTAGTGTAAAGGTAGTTGTACTTGTCCTTGTAGCTGTAGCTGTTGTGTAGTGGTAGTTGAAGTTGTAGTGCAGTGTAGTCTAGTCTAGTCTACTCTAGTGTAGCGTAGTTGAAGCCTATTGTAGTGTATTGTAGTTGCAGTTGTTGTTGTAGGCGCAGTTGCATGTGTAGCCGCAGTTGCAGTTGTAGTTGCAGTTGCAGTTGTGGTGTAGTTGTGGTTGTAGTTGTAGTTTTAGGTGTGGGTGTGGGTGTGGGTGTCGTGTCGTGTCGTGTCGTGTGGTGTCGTGTTGTGTCGTGTCGTGTGGTGTCGTGTGGTGTCGTGTCGTGTCGTGTCGTGTGGTGTGGTGTGGTGTAGTGTGGTATAATGGTATAGGGTGGTGTAGTAGTGTAGTCGGTATAGTGGTGTAGTGGTGTAGTGGTGTAGTGGTGTAGCGGTGTAGGTGTCGTCTAGTCTAGTCTGGTCTAGTCTGGTCTGGTCAGTTGTAGTTGTACCTGTAGCTGTAGTTGTAGTTGTAGTGTAGTTGAAGTGTAGGTGTAGTTGTAGTGTAGTTGTAGCTGTAGCTGTAGCTGTTGTTGTTGTTGTTGTTGTTGTTGCTGTTGCTGTTGCTGTTGTTGTTGTTGTTGTTGCTGTTGTTGTTGTTGTGTGCACTTTTTCAACATCTGGACTTCCAATCTTCTGTCTACTGACTCTTTCTCTTCTGATTATTTCTCTTCTTTGACTATTCCCATCTCTGCTGCTTCATCTGTCCATATTGTCGGAAGTTTGACTTCTAAACTTCCTTCGATGATAGCTTTGTGTGACCTGAATGGGCGATCAGTCCCAAAAACCTAGGTTCACTCCACCCAATGTCAACCCCTAGGCTGTTGATCATTGGGCAGTGGGTACCATTTGAGTAGCCAATGAATCTGGGGCCTCTAAATATATTTGGTCATTGATGATGTGAGGTTGGGATGCATCCGGTTGCAAAGAAAAACTCGCAGCGCACGACATGAACATAAATTGAATAGCTCCGTGGCAGACCCCGACATCAAAAAGGAACTTATCCACAAACAAGATTCTGCCACTTTGTCTCGTTGTCTCTGAGAGTCACTAGGACCAACATCAAAAGCAAGGGTTGAGTCCCACCATTTTCTGCATCAACCCTTCCTGATAGTCCTAGGTGCTGTAGGCCATTGGCATCCCGGTGGTGTAGCTGGTCATGGGCATGGCACTGATAGAGGCAGCACCGGGCATCACATATGGCGAAGAGGTGTAGACCACTTGAGGAGCACCTGAAACAAGCATCTTGGGGAGCACATGTTTAGCTAGACTAAGAGAGAAACATCGAGATTCAACCATGTTTTGGAAAGTTTACAGGAAACCATATGTTTGGAAGTCAAAAAATAAGGATCTCCCGCGATTCTTCTCAAGAACGATATTTTACTTGGTGGCTCATCCTACTTACCAACTATGTTGTGGTTCCAAGTGGGAAAAGTGCGGTTAATCCACTTTTCACTGGGCTTCTGGGCTTGAAGTGATAAAACGGCCCAATTCAATGGGATAGAAACCATCGGGATAGATATAAATTACAATAATATGTTGACATGTTTAGATAAAATCATGAGTATGGATATGTATATATATATATATTAGGTAGTATACATATGAATAAACTTCAGAATTGATTTTGTTCGAAGTCTGCCCAAAAATCACCTGGTCCATGAAGTGCCACAGGATCTTGCTACGGATTTACAGCAAGGTCGTTCGGTCCGGCATGACGAGAAACGCTTGGACCGCTTGGACCGCTTGGACTTTGGGGCTCCAGATCGATCGAAAAATAAAAAGGTATAGGATGGGATGGCTGGTATAGGTCATTGAGGTCCAGTGATTTCTAGGTCAGTTTCGATAAAATCCCAGCTTGTTTTGGGGACATCCAGATCCTCCAGATCCTCCAGATCCTCCAGGCAGTTTCGACCAAGGGGCCAGTCTCCATTGGATAAGTGGTGCTGATGGGAATGCCGCTGCCCATCTGAACCTAAGCAGGGGATGAGTGATGGGATGGTATGGGTCTAGTTGTGTTCGAATCCAACATCACAAGATCTAGTGGCAAAGCCCAGACACCGCACTGGTCACGCTGGTCACAGGGGCAGCATCAGTGATTGGCACGGGCTCCGTCGAAACACCTCCCGGTGTCCCAGAAGTATCGCCTTGAAAAGAAGATGTTCATAAGAAAATTGCCCATACATAGATGATTTGCCCACTACAAATCATGATTCTCCGTGGCAAAGTGTTCAATGACCAGAGGCTAAGCCAACAAGTTTCTCTTTAAGAACTGATAAGAATTGTTTGACACTGTTTGCCCAGAAACCGATGATACATAAGTTGCGGTCGAGGCCTGCCATGGCAACTCGTGCAGAACTGGAGAAAGCTGCCGCAAGCTGATCCCTACGTTCGCTGAGCCAGTGCCAGTTCGCAGCGAGTAACTTATCCTCCCACATTTGCAGCAGGTGTCTTTTGTATTGTAATTACAGATATTTCTCTCCAGAATAGATGTTTGAATTGCCCAAAAGAAATCCAAAGCTTCAACACTTCAGTATGGCTCAATGCTGGGTAGTGAAACTTGTACGTAGAAATACGGTGGTGATAGGGGCATGCTTCTTGTCCTGGCCTCCTTGTGACCATAATTCTGGGTCCAAACATCCCAACGTAGCAAAGTCCTCCAAAACCCTTGAAAGTTATTGTGGATGTCACAAAATCTAAAACTGCCTTTGATTTTGCCCTGACTTATCATGACTTATCCTAGGTTTCCTTCAAAAAACGGCTCATCCGCTTCAACGGGCCCCAGCGGCCGCCGGTATTTTGACCAACGGTACAGTCCCAGGTTCACCGCAGGAGATCCAGCCATCACCGTGACGGTGAGATTGGGATGGATATCATGGAGATATCCATTCTGTTGTGATGGAAATCCCTGTTTCCAACTTATATGAACCAAATCAATTGCAACTTTGTTAAGTTCCCGCAACATCATGACTTGTGATTGTGATGGTCTTACATGTGGATTGATGGCAGCTGGATCAAAGAACTGATGTCGTTTTCGCTGTTCATTTTGCAAAAAGGTGGCGGACTGAGATGCCATCCCGATACCAGACACCTTGTGGTGCCTGACCGAGATGGTGCCACGTATGATACGGCCCCGGTAGGGGTCCAAGAGTGAACGTGGAGGGCTAGACCACCAACTAGACACAACCCTGGAGCACTGTACTCCACAAAGGGTTGTGAAGCATTTCATGTTCCACACCAAAACATTCAGTTCCTGCAGTTTCATGTTGTGGCAACAAAAGCTGTCCATAGGAGGCACTGAGGCAGTGCAACTCCTGCCCTCGCAGTCCAGTTTGGCACTCTCAGCAGCAGCCGCTGGACTTCTTCTTCTTGCTCTTCTTGGCCTGGTAACACAAGCAGCATTCACCACAACACCACTCGACATGCATTTCCTTACTCCTAGGGAACCTTTCCCTGAAATTCAAGACACTTCCAACTGGCCCCGGATTGGTGGTACCCCAACGAATCAGGGATCAAGGAGGCTCCCAAGAAGCCCATTCTTAAGGATTATTTGATGAGAATACCTATATAATAACAATGACTGTAAGATAAAAAACAATAACAATACAAATAGTAACAACAACAATAACTATCATCATCATCATCATCATCATCATCATCATCATCGGCATAATTATATAAGTACTTCTAAATTCTAAATATTGGTCTATTTTGGGGGTTCGCCTTGGAATAGAATTCACATCTTCCACTGGCACCTTGGGGGCAGCGCCAGCTTTGGTTCCGGCGGTGCCGGTGGTGATCACAAAGCTCTCACGGGCCTGGCATTTCCACTCCTACCATATGTGCATGGGATTATCTATAGAGAAGCGGATGTGTATATATATATATACACATACAGTATATGTATGTATATATATATTAGTATATATACATATGTACAGAGGGAGTTGTTCATTTAATTGTTTTACATATTATATATATATATGTATATGTATACACACATACTTAAAGATATGTAAATACGTGTGATATAAACATATGTGACTGGCGGATGTGACCACCTCCCAGTCGTCCCCATTCACATGGGCAACTTCGCGCCATGGCCAAAAAAGGTCTTTCCCAATCTACCATGTTTGTGCAACCTCCCATTGCCACCGATTAGCAACACCAGGCCTTGTCGGTCATCAGGTGGCCCTCCTGTGGCGCTGTGTGACCCTCCGGGTGCGCCGTGATGATAAAGCCGGGCGGCAAAGCCTCGCCGGGCGCGAACCACTTGCCCTGGGAGTGATCCAGGCCACCTTGGCTGGGTGGCTAAGCCCTCACTCAGCCTGTTGAGTTCATTTGACGATCATTACAGCAACTTGGGCAACTGAAGATACGATGATGAATTATATAGGTAGAATTACCTTGGCGGTACTCAAGTATAGTCAGTCATAGAGATGAGCAATCACCAGTGATAGTTATGAGGATGTTCACTCATGCGCATTACTATTACTATGATATTACTTGTATTACTCCTACTATTAATAATAATTGTATGATTGTTATCATTGATTCCTGACATTATTAACACTAGTCCAACAAAAAAATGTGTACATCTTTGGATCAATCATTCCACTGGGATCCAATATTTCCACCCACTCAAAATGGGGGATTTGGCCATGGCCACGAGTTCACAACGGGAAGACGAGGAAAACCATGGGATGTTGGGGGTTGGAAAATGAAAATCCGCCAGCAAGAAATCCGACAAACAAAACGGAATAGGTAGACACTTTTGACCATCAAGAAATCAGAGTGTTTATAGCCGCAGAGCCAATCAAAACTGGGAAACTGACTTCAGTTGTTACGCAACATCACATATTTTCACAGCCCCGCAAACATCAACGCTCCTTTAGGGAGCTTAAAGGTTTTCCAGCATATCCTTACAGATCTTGCATTCCAGGTACTGTAGGCCATGGGCATCGCAGGCATCGTGGTGTAGCTGGTCATGGGCATGGCACTGATGGAGGCAGCGCCAGGCATCACATATGGCGACGAGGTGTAGACGACCTGAGGAGCACCTGATGCCGCAGGGGTTGCTGGCACCCTGAAACATCAACCGGTGACAACGAGCAAATGCTGGAAATTATCTACACAAAACAGGAGTTCAACAAGCTGTTTTTCAGTGGAGATATCGCAAAGAAAGAAGAAGTCAATGATTAGCTTTACAGGAAAGAAAAGGAACAGATCTTATCCCTATCTTGGAGGGTACAACCTGTTTCTGCGACCAACTTTAATGACCCATTATTTCCGCAGGGAGGCCTTTGGGCTCAACTGAAACTATCTAGTGAATCTAGTGGCCAAATTTGGTGTTTAGCGGTTTTGAAACCCTCAAATACACACACGTGTATATCGGTGATATGAGGATCATGGAAAGTCACGTTCTTTTGATGCCTCCCATGTCCAGTCCAAAGAAATCCAGCCAGTTGAGGCACCAGTCTCCATGGGATAAGTGGTGCTGACGGGTACGCCACTGCCCATCTGAACCTAAGCAGTGGCCACGTACCATGCTCACAGCTGTTCATGTTGGTGGGATGACCACATCCCATATCGCTCACATAGTGTCTTAAGATGTGATGTTTGAAAAAATGAGCAAGACCAAATGAGGTATGGATGCCAAATGAGCAGCAAATATCGTGGCACCTGTCAAATTTCACCATGAATCGCAAATATGTCTAGGTATCCACTAGATCCTGCAAGAGTTGGGCGACATTCTTGGACTCGGAAGTCATTCCCGCCCTGAAGACCAATCCATTCCAAGTCCGTTGAACTCAGTTGTCCAAAATCTATTTGAGCAGTGTTCAAAACATCCTGGTTGCTTCAGAACTGGGTTCGCAATATATTGAGTAGTACAATCATGTACAATCTATAATCATCTCAGCAATCCTGAACGCCGAGTTGCTGCGCTGGTCACAGGCACAGCGGCATCAGTCACTGGTACAGGCTCAGTGGGGACACCTTGAGTTGGAGCTGTAGGCGGAGTTGGAGAAAAAATCTGCCAAGACTGTCTCAGTAAGGAAAACCCTCTGATGGCTCTCAAGGAATCAAGATAGATCTCTTTGGTCTTTCGGAAAAGATCATTGGTCCAGTTTCTTTCAAGAAGCCCAGTGTTTTTTCACCACTTTTTGGCACCTGCCATGGCGTTCAAGACGAAGTTGCCACAACTGAAGCGTTGAGTAACACCAAAGCGCTGAAGTGGAGCCAAGATGGTTTAGGCCACGAGTATGTAGTGACTTTGAGGGTGGCAGTCCTGATTTTGCCAAAGTCACCGCGGTCCTCTCTGAAGACCATAACACACACTCAAAAAACCTACAAAGAACCATCCGCACAAGCCCACCACAAAAAAAAGAACAACAAGAACCTGTCTTCATTCCCACACAGGAGCATCCGTCTCAGCCCAGAAACGAGCTGGGAAATATGTTCGAATCGGAAGATCCCAACCCAATGAACCAAGCAATCTGTGTTTTTTCTTGCACAGTCAGAGTTCCGGGAAAACACAGCTGAGATCCATTGCCAGCAACACGGATTCCCTGATGGCGAAGTCGAACCACCACAAACAAACAGTTTTGGCTTCTACCGCCCTCCATAAACCAATCATAAGACATATCTCAACACTAGGAACAAAAGAAATGGCTTGTGTAGTGCGACATGGCTCGAAGATCTATCCATCATCCGGCACATGGCGGGACCAAACAACTGGATCGTCTGCTGAAAACGATCAAATGAATCATTTGGCAAAAGGGAGGCACAATGACACCGTTGCCATTCTGCCACTTCCCCATCCATGGAGCTCCTCGCTCCAGGGTGGGACTCTCAAGATATCCGATCCAGCTCATGATAAGGAGGTGCAATAAGGCAATAACTGCAATAACTTTCAAAATGGGAACATGTTGATAGCTTTGAGGGCCAGAATCTCGTCCAACCTTCGACAAAAAAAAAGCCTCTCGATGGATCGGATGGAGCAGCCGGAGCTTAGCAGCAGCCGCTGGACTTCTTCTTCTTGCTCTTCTTGCTCACCTCGCGAAAGGATGTAAAGGATGTAAAGGTGGCAAGGTGAAACCAGAAGCTGAAGCTCCATTCGCTAAATTTGGGTTTGTCTGAAAATCGGGCTTTCCCAAAATTCCATGGTTTATCATGGTTTATCATCATCTTTCCCATTTTTTATGGCCAGGGCTATACCCCATTGTCAGACAAATCCATTTGTGCATAGGTATTTTGGTACATGATTGAGTGCTTGGAATCTCTTAGAACTGGTGGGGACGTGAATGCGGTTTCTACATAACTGGCCACATCGATGGACCTTGATTTGCTTGGATGTTCGGTTGATTTGTTCCATGCTGAGCAGCTCGGGATGAATCCTATACTATTATACCCACGTGTGCATCCAGGACTACGTATGGCTGTGAAGCTGGGGATGTACCTCCCCAATGGCCATTTCGATAGACAAAATTGTGACAAAATATGAAAAAATGATGATTCTGATTAACCAATGGGTTTCAGGGATACCAAATTTTCAGACAAACCTACAGACCAGTTAGCCCCAAAAGCTTGAGACCATCCCATGGTCAGTGACGTTGCTTTAGGTGGGAAGCTTAGGGGTAGTGGTCACAGTTATCACTTGATACAAGACACACACAATCGTAGATGGGTCAAAACTTCTATTTTTTTTCCGTGAATTTACACAGAACTTGAATGGAATGAATAATATCCATCAATTCCAGCTAAAAATGACGGTGCAGGTGCAGATAGAGCGATTCCCAGGGTCTGGCTTGGGCTCACCCCAGAAAGAGTCGAACGATGTTGTCCTAAGCTCTGAAAAAACTGAACGTAATAGGGGGGGCCATTCTTTAACCTTCCAAATGTTCGAATTGTTGGGAATGCATCGAGTCTTTCGTCTTACATCCAACTACCGGGACACTTGCGGTTTAACCGACAAGACTGATTGAACGGCTATTTCACCAAGCAAAAAGACGTGAATATCTAGCAATGAGTTCAACGGTACCGAAATACCGCCAGATCCTTCTAGCATGGTTGAAATAAGAACGCCACTCGGGTGATGCCGACCTTGCTCTTTGGAGCAGAGCCAAGCTTGGTGTCAACCCCCGTGGTGATCACGAAGCTTTCACGGGCCTGGAATGCGTAGGGCCATAAAAATTGTCCCATCCCAATGTCCCCCAAGGTGCAAGTCAAACAAAAACCAAAAGTGTGCGCCCATCCCACTCTACATTCGGAGAATTGAATATCCCGCAGTAGGCCACTTGACCCCTTGACCTTGACTGGACTCCATGACAGCCCCTGGCCTTGTCGGACATCAGGTGGCCCTCCTGTGGCGCTGTGTGACCCTCCGGGTGCGCCGTGATGATAAAGCCGGGCGGCAAAGCCTCGCCGGGCGCGAACCATTTGCCCTGGGAGTGGTCCAAGCCACCTTGGGAGCCGCAGTGGCTGGTTTTTCTGATTTTTTTGGGTTGAAGATAACAGCAATATCTGGATGAAGAGAAATAAAATGGTTTCTGCAAGTTGCCAGCAATGCTTCAATTTTCAAGTGATAGGACACCCGAACTTTCGACTTGGTTCCAAACACGTGAATGCAGCAAAAAAAACAGCATCGAATCAAATCCAAGATTCGGCCGTATCCCAGAGGAAAGGCTGAATGCTGTGGGGCCTTTGGGGTTCCAACTTAGCTTTCGGCTGGAGCAATTTTTGGTTTCGGTCTCCGCTTAAGAAGTCCCCAGGCCTAGGGCAACATTTCACGGTAGAAGTTGTGCCTGTCACCACTCATATCCTTGGACCCTTGGACCCTTGGACCCTTGGACCCTGCATCCCAGGTACTGTAGGCCATGGGCATCGCAGGCATCGTGCTGTAGCTGGTCATGGGCATGGCACTGATGGAGGCAGCACCAGGCATCACGTATGGCGACGAGGTGTAGACCACCTGGGGAGCACCTCAGATCGCAAGTGTTGTAGGTTCATCAATCGAAATGCAGAGAAGGTCAATAATAGAACTGTGAAATTACCACAAACATCAGCAAATGAAAATATGGGGATCAAACCCGTTGAAGGTCTTTGATAGGCCATCAAGAAGAAAAATAGACATGAGGAGACTGAAAGGTCATCATCCTGGACATCGTCAAATGAATAGACCATGTCCAGTTTCTGAGCAGGAAATTACGTCCCCTACAACTATGTCTGCAACCAAACTGGCTATATATATATATATATATATATACATCTCAAAGTGACATATGAAGAACTCACCACGTCTTCCGCGCACAGCTCTTTTTCAACCACCTACCAAAGTTCAGTCTGTTTCACCTGCTCTCCTCAGGTTTGCTTTGGATGTGTCACAATGTGACTCGCACATAGCCCCAGACCGAATCACCTCTGGTCAGCAACCTGGTCACCCCAGGTTGGGACCTGCCTTTGCAGGTATCACCCAATGCACTCAAACACCCAAAGCACTAGAGGAATTCAAAGGTGAGAATGACTGCAACGAATGGCAACTGGAAAAAGATTGTGGGGAGGTACGACGAATGAAAGCTAGATCCATGGCAGCGCCACCAAGTCGTCGGCCCAGTTGCTCTTGCTCTGGGCGTACTCCCAGTAGCCCTGGGCACGCAGTGCGAAGAGGGCCAAAGGAATCAGATGGCCTAGCTTTGCTAGGTCCGAATTGCTAGAACGTCCCCTCACTAAGGTCATGACTGCAGCCACAGCGTCGAGGAACCATAGACCGTGTCGATGGCGGAGAAGGCCAGGGCTCTCACTCAAGGTGTAAATTACCATGGAGAGCTCCAACTGCGCAATGTGGGTCTCTGCAGGCTGCCACAGGAATTGTAGTTCTTCGCAATTGGTAGCAACAAAACTGTAAATTCACGTTTTGGCTCGAAACGCATCACTGCTTCGATCACCTCGAAGCATTCTTCAATCTCTGAAGTCAAGCTGGTGACACTCTCGTCCTGGCAAGCCTTCACTGCCATAAGGTCACCATAGCCAACTCGCCCATAGATGCCCTGCTCCTCAAGTTTCCCGAAGTAAGAGCACCCGTACTTGGAAGCTGAAATTCGCTTAAAAGTTCGAGCCAGATTCATGGCAAGTGGAAGGCACCACCACGTAGGATCGCCCCCACGTGGGCCCCAAACCTATGTCACAAAAGCAAGTAAGGCCACATCAAGTCGGATTGCCTCCGGCTTGAAACCCAACCTGCTTACGACAGCAGAGGCCTACAGCCTTGTGGCCACTGCCTGGCAATGATCATGGGCAACCTGTGAACCTCAAGTAGCGTTACCTCTACTTGGAACCTGGCTTGCTGGGGCAGGCAAAACTAACAGCCTCCAGTTCTGCTGAAAACGCAAACACGGGTGCCAGCAAGTAGGATGACCCCCACTTGGACTCCAAACCTGAATCACTAAGGCAATAAGGCCACACCAAGCAGGATCATCTCCTCCTTGAAACCCAACCAGCTTAAGCCCACAGCCCTGTGGGCACTGCCTGGCAATGCCCATGGGCAACCTGTGAACCTCAAGTAGCGTTACCTCTACTTGGAAACCTGGCTTGCTGGGGCAGTCAAAACCAACAGCCTCCAGCTCTACTGAGAACGTAAAAAAAAAAGAAGAAAAAAAAAAACGGGTGCCAACGAGTAGGACCCTCACTTGGACCCCAAACCTACGTCACTGAAGCCAAGCAGAATATTTCCTGCTTGAAACCCAAACGGCTTGAGACAGCAGAGGCCCATATCTGTGAGCGCACTGCCGACACCCAGCTTGCTTGGGGGAGTCAAAACCAACAGCAGCCCACGCTGCTGAGATTGCAAAATCCAAGTTTCCAGAAGTAGGATCACCCCTACTTGGAAACTGAAATTCGCTGAAAATTCGAACCATATTCATGGCAATTGCTAGGCACCCTCAGGTAGGATCACCCCCACTTGGATGCCGAACTTATGTCGCTAAAGCAAGTAGGGCTACACTAAGTAGGATTACCTCCTGCTTGAAACCCAACCAGCTTGAGACAGCAGAGGCTTACAGCCCTGTGGTCACTGCCTGGCAGTGCCGGTGGGCAAGCTGTGACCCTCAAGTAGCGTTACCTCTACTTGGAAACCCAGCTTGCTCGGGAAAAGTCAAAAACCAACAGCCTCCAGTTTACTGAATGCTCAGAACCTCAGGTGTCCCGAAGTAGGAGCACCCGTATTTGGGAGCTGAAATTCGCTTAAAAATTTCGAGCCAGGCTCCTGGCGGGTGTTGGGTACCACCACGTAGGATTGACCCCACTCGGATCCCAAACCTATGTCACAAAAGCAAGTAGGGCTACATCAAGCAGGAGTGCCTCCTGCTTGTAACCCAACCTGCTTAAGACAGCAGAGGCCCACAGCCCTGTGGTCACTGCCTGGCAATGCCCATGGGCCACCTGTGATCCTCAAGTAGCGCTACCTCTACTTAGAAACCCAGCTTGCTGGGGGCAGTCAGAACCAATAGCCTCCAGCTCTGCTGAAACCGCAAAAATCCAAGTTTCCAGAAGTAGGAACACCCCTACTTGGAAACCGAAATTCGCTTAAAAACTGGCGCTACATTCATGGCAAGTGTTGGGCACCAGCGAGTAGGATCACCCCCACTAGGGCCCAAAACATATGTCACTAAAGCAATAAGGTCACGCCAAGCAGGATTACCTCCTGCTTGAAACCCAACCTGCTTAAGACAGCAGAGGCCCACATCTCTGTGCTCACTGCCGCCACCCAGCTTGCTTGGGGAAGTCAAAACCAACAGCCCCCAGCTCTGCTGAAAGTGCAAAAATCCAGTTTCCAGAAGTAGGATCACACCTATTTGGAAACTGAAATTCGCTTAAACAATTCAAGCCATATTCATGGCAACAGCTGGGCACCCTCAGGTAGGATCACCCCTACTTGGACGCCGAACCTATGTCGCTAAAGGAATTAGGGCCACACCAAGTAGGATTGCCTCCTGTTTGGAACCCAACCTGCTCAAGACAGCCCTGTGGTCACTGCCTGGCAGGGTCGATGGGCAACCTGGGCTTCTCAAGTAGCGTTGCCTCTACTTGGGAACCCAGCCTGCTTGGGGCAGTCAAAAACCAACAGCCTCCAGCTCTGTTGAAATTGCAAAAACAAACCATGTTTCCAGAAGTAGGATCACCCCTACTTGGAAACTCAAATTCGGTTGAACTTCAAGCCATATTCATGGCAAGTGTTGGGTACCCACCAGTAGGATCACCCCCAATTGGAAGGACCCTATGTCGCTAAAGCAATTAAGGCCACACCAAGTAGGATTGCCTCCTGCTTGGAACCCAACCTGCTTAAGACAGCAAAGGCCCACAACCCTGTAGTCACTGCCTGGCAGTGTCGATGGGGAACCTGTGAGCCTCAAGTAGCGGTGCCTCGACTTGGAGACCTAGCTGGCTTGGGGCAGCCAAAATCAACAGCCTTTAGCTCTGCGGAAATTGCAAGAATCCAGTTGCCAGAAGTAGGATTTCATAGCAGGTGTTGGGCACCCTCAAGTAGGACTACCCCCACTTGGACCCAAAACCTATGCCACTAAAGCAATAAGGCCACACCAAGTAGGGTTACCTCCTGCGTGGAACCCAACCTGCTTAAGACAGCAGAGGCCCACAACCCTCTGGTCACTGCCTGGCAGTGTCGATGGGCAACCTGTGGCCTTCAAGTAGCGTCACCTCTACTTGGAAACCCAGCCTCCTGGAGGGAAGTCAGACCCAACAACCTCCAGTTCTGCTGAATTTGCAAAAAAAACACAAGTGCCCAGAAGTAGGATTACCCCTACTTGGTAGCTGAAATTCGCTTAAAAATTCGAGCCAGATTTATCATGGCAAGTGCTGGGCACCAAAACGTAGGATCGCCCCCACTTGGACCCCAAAATTATGTCACGAAAGCAAGTGCGGCCACACCAAATAGGATTACCTCCTGCTTGAAACCCAACCTGCTTAAGACAGCGGAGGCCCACAGCCCTGTGGTCACTCCCTGGCAGTGCCAGTGGGCAACCTGTAATCCCCAAGTAGCGTTACCTCTACTTGGAAGCCCAGCTTGCTTGGGGCAGTTAAAACCAACAGCCTCCAGCTCTGCTGAAAATGCAAAAAAAAAGAAAGCAAGTTGCCCAGAAGTAGGATCACCCCTACTTGGAAGCTGAAATTTCCTTAAAATTTCAAGCCATGTTCATGGCAGGTGTTGGGCACTCTCAAGTAGGACCACCCCCAACTTGGACCCAAAACCTATGCCACTAAAGCAATAAGGCCACACCAAGTAGGGTTACCTCCTGCGTGGAACCCAACCTGCTTAAGACAGCAGAGGCCCACAACCCTCTGGTCACTGCCTGGCAGTGTCGATCGGCAACCTGTGGCCTTCAAGTAGCGTCACCTCTACTTGGAAACCCAGCCTCCTGGAGGGAAGTCAGACCCAACAACCTCCAGTTCTGCTGAATTTGCAAAAAAAACACAAGTGCCCAGAAGTAGGATTACCCCTACTTGGTAGCTGAAATTCGCTTAAAAACTGACGCCACGTTCATGGCAAGTGCTGGGCACCAAAACGTAGGATCGCCCCCACTTGGACCCCAAAACTATGTCACGAAAGCAAGTGCGGCCACACCAAGTAGGATGACCTCCTGCTTGAAACCCAACCTGCTTAAGACAGCGGAGGCCCACAGCCCTGTGGTCACTCCCTGGCAGTGCCAGTGGGCAACCTGTGATCCCCAAGTAGCGTTACCTCTACTTGGAAGCCCAGCTTTCTTGGGGCAGTTAAAACCAACAGCCTCCAGCTCTGCTGAAAATGCCCCAAAAAAAAAAGAAAGCAAGTTGCCCAGAAGTAGGATCACCCCTACTTGGAAGCTGAAATTTCCTTAAAATTTCAAGCCATGTTCATGGCAGGTGTTGGGCACTCTCAAGTAGGACCACCCCCAACTTGGACCCAAAACCTATGCCATTACAGCAATAAGGCCACACCAAGTAGGGTTACCTCCTGCTTGAAACCCAACCTGCTTAAGACAGCAAACGCCCACATTTCTGTGCGCACTGCCGACACTCAGCTTGCTTGGGGCAATCAAAACCAACAGCCTCCAGCTCTGCTGAAAACGAAAACCTCCAAGTCTCCACAAGTAGGGTCACCCCTACTTGGAAACCAAAATTCGCTTAAAAACTGACGCCACGTTCATGGCAAGTGTTGGGCACCAACGAGTAGGATCACCCCCACTTGGACCCAAAACAATTGTCACTAAAGCAAGTACGGCCACACCAAGCAGGATCACCACCTGCTGGAAACCCAACCTGCTTAAAACAGCAAGCGCCCACATTTTTGTGCGCACTGCCGACACCCAGCTTGCTTAGGGCAGTCAAAACCAACAGCCTCCAGCTCTGCTGAAAACGAAAACCTCCAAGTTTCCACCAGTAGGGTCACCCCTACTTGAAAACCAAAATTCGCTTAAAAACTGACGCCACGTTCATGGCAGGTGTTGGGCACCAACGAGTAGGATCACCCCCACTTGGGCCCAAAACATATGTCACTAAAGCAATAAGGTCACGCCAAGCAGGATTACCTCCTGCTTGAAACCCAACCTGCTTAAGACAGCAGAGGCCCACATCTCTGTGCTCACTGCCGCCACCCAGCTTGCTTGGGGAAGTCAAAACCAACAGCCCCCAGCTCTGCTGAAATTGCAAAAATCCAGTTTCCAGAAGTAGGATCACCCCTATTTGGAAACTGAAATTTGCTTAAATTTCAAGCCATACTCATGGCAACTGCTGGGCACCCTCAAGTGGGATAATCCCCACTTGGACGCCGGACCTATGTTGCTAGAGCAAGTAAGGCCACACCAAGTAGGATTACCCCCTGCTTGGAACCCAACCTGCTTAAGACAGCAGAGGCCCACAACCCTCTGGTCACTGCCTTGCAGTGTCGATGGGCAACCTGTGGCCTGCAAGTAGCGTTACCTCTACTTGGAAACCCAGCCTCCTGGAGGGAAGTCAGACCCAACAACCTCCAGTTCTGCTGAATTTGCAAAAAAAAACACAAGTGCCCAGAAGTAGGATTACCCCTACTTGGTAGCTGAAATTCGCTTAAAAATTCGAGCCAGATTCATCATGGCAAGTGCTGGGCACCAAAACGTAGGATCGCCCCCACTTGGACCCCAAAACTATGTCACGAAAGCAAGTGCGGCCACACCAAATAGGATTACCTCCTGCTTGAAACCCAACCTGCTTAAGACAGCGGAGGCCCACAGCCCTGTGTTCACTCCTGGCAGTGCCAGTGGGCAACCTGTGATCCTCAAGTAGCGTTACCTCTACTTGGAAACCCAGCTTGCTTGGGGCAGTCAAAGTAACCAACAGCCTCCAGCTGCTGAAATGGCCAGAAACCAAGTTGCCCAGAAGCAGGATCACCCCTACTTGGAACTGAAATTGTTCTTAAAACTTCAAGCCATATTCATGGCAGGTGTTGGGCACCCTCAAGTAGGACCACCCCCACTTGGACCCAAACCCTATGCCCCTAAAGCAATACGGCCATACCAAGTAGGGTTACCTCCTGCTTGAAACCCAACCTACTTGAGAACGCAGAGGCCCACAGCCGTGTGGTCACTCCCCCTGTGGTCCAAGCAATACTCATGGCAAGTGTTGGGCGCCATCAAGGAGGATCACCCCCGCTTGGACCCCAATATATGTCACGAAAGCAAGTACGGCCACACCAAGCAGGATCACCTCCTGCTGGAAACCCAACCTGCTTAAAACAGCAAACGCCCACATTTCTGTGCCCACTGCCGACACCCAGCTTGCTTGGGGAAGTCAAAACCAGCAGCAGCCAGCGCTGCTGAAATCGCAAATATCCAGGTTTCCAGAAGTAGGATCACCCCTACTTGGAAACTGAAACTCGCTTAAAAAGTCAATTCATATGCATGGCAAGTGTTGGGAACCCTCAAGTGCTGGGCACGCAGTGCAAACAGAGCCAAATGGATCAAATGGCCGAGCTTTGCTAACCCCGAATTGCTAGAGCGCCCTCTCACCAAGGTCATGACTGCGGCAACGTTGTCGAGGAACCAGAGACCATGTCGATGTCGGAAAAGGTCGGGGCGCTCGATCAAGGCGCACAACACCATAGAGAGCTCCAGTTGCGTGCCTTGATGGCCATGAGACCGCCATACCCGACTCGCCCAGAAATACCTTGCTCCAAGAAGATTGCAAGTCTATAAAGTTTGGAAGCTGTGCCTCGAGTAAAGTGGCCTGCTTGGCGTGCTGTGGCAAGACATCACGAACTTTGCCATGGAGTCTGGTGCGGGCCCAAAAACGAAGATGACCTGTCTTATTGATGCAACTCAGGTCATGGGTAAGTCCCAAAGAAGCGCCAGTGCTCTGCATGGTCTGCGTTTTGTCTTCCGCAAATAAAGATCCGATCATCAGGCATAGTTGTTTCATCGCCCATTGCCCGGAGCCCTTGGCAGAGCGGACATCAGTGATCGCGGCATTAAAGTACAGGGATGTCAAAACTTGGCAATACCAGCGAGTCAGCGCTTCCAACAGTCTGGGAAAATCAGTTGAACGAAGTGATTGCCAGGGGGAGCCTAAACAAGAGGCCTGCATAGACCTGGGATACCGGAGTTTGCCACTCATCAGTGAAACCAGACGACAACGCAGCCTAAGCTCTCCTGCTGACATGGGGCAGTACCTTTAGGCAGACGGCAGGTCCTCTTAGCCTGTCTCCCAGGCATCATGGTGACAAAACTCGGCGACCTCGTCCTCAGACCAACGACGCATAACCAGGCTTATGGGCGACTACATAGTGTAAGCATGTTGGCATCGGAAGAAAGGTCTGATTGCCCTCCGGTGTCACCGTTGTCGATGACTCGTTGTTTCCCCGAACTTTGGGTGGTCACACAGCGCAGGATAAGACGATGTGCCCGGCCGCCAATGTCCCTGAGGAACTCTGCTCGCCGCAGAGGAGGTGTACAAAAGCCGTTTCTGGCGTCTTCCAAGAACTGCTGCAGCAAGAATGCATCGCTTCGCCACGTGCTGCTTGAACTCCAGGAACGCAGCAGCATGGAGGAGCGACGCCTCGGTGGCCGCCGGGATATCGCTCCCACGAAGCTTACGCTGCATGCACGGTCTCCCCTTGCAACTACCAGGTCACCCCTTACGATGCTTGTAACCAACCAGGTCACCCCTGGTTATTGATGTGGTGAGCCGCTCAATCAAGGTCTAGGAAGGTCACCCCTTACCAGGGCCAGGAAAGAAACAGCAATGAATGCTATTTTGGCTCAGCTCCACTTGAGCCAAAATGAAAGCATTCATTGACTCACTTAAAGATGACACATGCACACCCAAGCCTGCCAAACTCAATGCATGAATATATATAATTACTTCAAAATCCCATGGTTTATCACCGGTTGCCCCAATGAAAAAGTGCCAGAAATTATGGTACAGACCCATTGATGGGATCCCAAATGGTACAGTTCTTCTCAATCCCAGGCGGATCGATGCCCTTGAGGCACCCGTCTCCATGGGATAGGTGGTGCTGATGGGAATGCCACTGCCCATCTGAACCTGCAGATGATCCAAGGATAGAATTTCTCAAAAACAGAATTGAAGAATATATATTTTGAACAAAGATGACTTGTCTGATAAATCTCCATCAGATGATTTATACAGAATCTCAGTACCAGAATGGTTACCATGGTGCACATTAGGTCTGGTGGTTCTTGGGCCTTCAAGATTTCATGGATTAATTTTCCAATGATCCAGGCGTAACAAGATGACCAGTGGATGGAATGGGGGAGTCGGCGTTCAGCCTAAAGAGCACAAAAGTTGGTGCAAACACTTGAATCTAATTGTGACGATCAAAGAAATGATGCAAGTGTTGTTTGCAACCTCTTGTGAAGTACCTGAAAAGAGGCTACCTTGTTCATGTTCACACTGTGGTCTTCATCACCAAGTCTCTATAAATATCTGGAAGTGTCACAGGGTCCCCAGGGTCCCCGGGGCACCAGTGCAGCCCCAGTTGCAGCGCTGGTCACAGGGACAGCATCAGTCACTGGCATGGGTTCGGTTGCAACGCCTGGGACAGACCAGCTGGGAATGAACAGACCTGAAAAACGGGTCAAAATGTCGGAAGCATGGTGACCATGGTGGTAAAAGTTTAGAGTTTGTATAATGCTGCATAATGTCGTTCGGGTGGTGAAGAATTCATTTTAACTGTTTTTTTTCCAATCGTTTTTGCAAGTGCCAAGCAACAACCGTTGCAACATCCAGAAAGATGAAAATGGGTTTGTTTGAAAATAAACTACCTGTAATCATCCTGTTCCCTGTTAAAAATTTCAAACACCATTTGGGGGGTATACACCATTTTCAGACAGACCTCAATTGGTTTGAAGACATCCTCAAGTTGAATCAACATGACCCATCCCCATGGTTCATGTCCAGCCTGCCATTGGGTCCAGATTGCACCAGGAAGCAAGAATCAAACTCAGAGTGGATCGAATCGCTCCCTGTTGAGCCACCGTGGATTGCGCAGAGCATCGGAGTTTCGATCAACATTTCAGTGTTTTTCGCTGGTGTCTCATATTGATTGTTTTCGTTGTTAAAATCCGGCCATGGGGCCATGGGTCAGACAAAAAATGTTTTGTTCAATTGCTCTGGCATTGGCAACTGACATCGTGTGCTCGGGACGTTACTTACGTTTCCATGCAACAGTACTGAATGCCACTGTGGATAACCTGATGATAACCCCTAAACACCTCCCACTACGGTGCGAAAACGCAATAGTATTCAGATCCGAACAATGCATTGAAAAAAATATTTCCTTCGAGTGATCCCCACCCAGAAACATTATTCTGACATAGTTTCGGACATACATCTGGAAGTATATTTGGCATATCCATTCAGACATTCTATCTGACATCCTTTCGGGCATACACTTTGACATTCTACTTGACATTCTGTCAGTGATGTTTTTGCATGTGCAGCAAATCCACTTTACCTATGTATTTCCCCGAGGCCTTGAGCGGTACAAACAAACGTGTTCTGATGAGCTTGGTACCGGAGCCCTGTAACACTATTTGCCATAGCGATCGCCGTGCCGTGCGTTCGCCTGCTGTGCCTCTTGGGGAACATATCAATGAGAACGATGGCGTTCCTAGTATGTCTGGTTGCAATCCCAGTATCACCCCTTTCAATTCGCATCATCGGCACCAAGCCATTTTGGGGACCTGACACCAACCAAACTTTTGAAGATTCGGGTTGCTCCTGCTGGATCCAAGTGCCAACTAGTTTCTCAGTCCCGAAGGAATATCATACTTGCTGTTTTTTTTTTGACATTCAGGACATTCCTGTGAACGTGTCCGGGACAATCACTGACACTGACAGTGGCAAGTGCTTTAGCACTATTCACTATATTTTTGATTTCACCTTTGGCTTGTTCTGCGTGAAGACCTACGGTGGCCACCACATCATTGAGACCTCCGAGGTCACTTGCTGGAGCAGCGTTTTCATTGTTTTGCATTATATATTTGTTTTTGAACCACATGATTCTTGAAGCCATTGGAAACCACTTGTTGTTGAGTTCCTTGGCAATCGCTTTGGTGCAGAAACGATGCAGCAACCAAGCTCTTCTGGTTCGATCCCTTTGACACAGTACACACGTGAAGTACCAGCTGGATGGGGGTCCAAACAATTACATCCTTCAGTCATATTGTATGCCATGGAATTTGTAGCTACATGACTGGCTAAAATTTTTCAACCATAGTTCCCAAATTTACATCAATCAACCTTGCTGGCCTGCTGTGATCCTCCATGTCCGCAAAAATATCCAGCAAACCACAAATGTTTCGACAAATTGACGCGAAAGAACCCCATTTTGCGGGTCAGAAAATGACACCCAAAGTAGGGAACTATTCCGCTGGGACTGGAAAAGTTTAGCAAACTTCTCTTGGAAAGGGGCCAGGGATAGAGTCAATTTGGCCTGACCCCTTTCCAAGAGAAGTTTACTAAGTTTTTCCAGACGATTGCTGTGGAGCTATGGCTGAGAGGACGTTCCGACGATTCTCAGTACCTTCCAAGGAGTGGTAAGAAGTTTTACGATCCGCGTAGCAGAAAGACTTGCCGAGTACATTTGCTCCCTGATGAGGAATGCTGCTACACTGGCCATTCTTGAAACTAAGCACTCTGTGCATCTTATTGGTTCCGCCCGATCTTGTCAGAACTCATTGGGGCAGCCACCGAGACGGCACCTATCAATCAACTCGTGCCCCTAGCGGACCAGTCAAGGTGTCGGTGCCCACTCAACCACAGGAGCGACCACATGGAGGCATCAGCCTCACTAGCGGAGTTGCAGCGCTCTTGGCGTGGTTTCCGGCGAGTTGGGCTAGCAAGGTAGTACCCTGCTTTCTTGCTCAGGGAGGCACCGCAGCCTCCGCAGGAAGTGACAATACCCTGCCCCACTCGAGAAGCTCCCGGGTGGAGCGAGACCAACGAGCCAGAACTCTTCAAGCAGTCCGTTTCGTCGAGACAAGAGGGCCACTGGAATTAACCTCGGGATCGATGAAGACTATCAAGCCTCCCAATGCTTCACTGAAGTCATTCGTGGTTATCGGATTGGTGTCATAGAGCCTGCCACCATGCACAGCTTCCAGCCAACTGGGCCCATTCGGGTCTCTCTGGAAGTAATCATACCATCTCAAGGTGGAATTACCCCAGAGCAGCGGAAGCAGACGGCCACGCTGTGCCCCCTCGACTGGCCCACCAACTACAGCCTGCTACGACTCTGGCATCATCCTACGAGCCTACATCAGTTTGCTGATGTATTGTACAAGCAATTGGACCATCGCCACATGTTCACGCAATGGTCACTGGATCTCAATGAGCCAGCCGAACGGGCTATGTTCCAACAACCGGCAACCTATTGATGCTGCGCCACAAGAACGCTGGAGAGACCTTGATTTTCCCAGCAGGAAGCTTAGGCGACGTCCAACTCCAGCTGATCTTGCTGAATTTCGCACCAAGAAAGCTGATTTGCGGAGGAATGCTGCAACACAAGAACAACTTAATCCAGTCTCCTTTTCCCTTGAGAATAGCTGGTCATTCTGAGAGTTCACAACCCATGCATCATAAGTAGCGCGTGATGCAGTGGCCATGACTGTCGCTGCTGCACCGGAATCCAGCAACCACCATGCTGGCTTTCGTCTTCCATCATAATTTCAGATAAAAGTAGGTGCAAAACTGAGAATACCTATGCAGTTCAAATGCATGAGAAACTGTGTCCTGCACATTCAAAAACGTTGAGGTTCCAACCCTTTTCAATTCAACTCGATGGCAGTTTGATGAAACAAGATCCTGCGAAAGCACTCTTGAAACTGAAGTGCAAGCTGATTTTGGTTTTTGACGCTAGAATTTTAGACCGCAGCTGGCGCAAAGAGACGGCTTCAAGGCAAGCCTCGAGGCCTTAGGGTCATGGAGATTGCAGCAAAACAAAAAGGTTGTTTCAATAATGTAGGAGGCAGATCTCAATGCAAGCCTCAAACTCCAGTGTCGTAAGACCATGGAAATTAGAATTGCTGGTCAAATATGTCAAATCAGCTTCAGCTTGAAATGAACGCTTCAACAAATTTGCCACGAAGGGGCCAAAAAGGGACCAAAACTGGACCGTCCAGGGGGACCACTTTCGATTTCAAAGGGTCCACTTTCTGACTCCTTTTTGAAACACGTTTCCTTTGCACGGAGTCCAAAACTGGACCTCAACAGGACCTCAACAGGCTGAATCCGGTGCCTCCTTGGAGGTCCGGTTTTAAGCCCACCTAAGCATCTTCTTCAGCTGCGCTGTTCCAATGTAGACACGCATCAACTCTTATGAAACCAAGGCGTTTCATGCTGAATTTTCTAATTTGTTTACTCGCTTATCCCAATGTTAGGACCGAGTCTCAGGTTGAGGAGTGCATTTGGGAACCATCCAAGAACTTTGACGCTGATTAACGCGTTCAGTAAGGGAATCAATCTACAGTATGTAATCCAGATGTTGGTGTGAACACAGAACTGCAAGCTTCGAATGGCTTTGAGTTGGTGCGCCAACTGACACCGAAACAATACAAGACGACAAAGCTTTTTATCACAATAAATACGATACTCCGCACGGCGTAGACTGCCTCCCCCCTCTTCCACCCGCCCCTCCTGTGTTTCACTAAAGTGTGGCGCTGGCTCGCTGTCTCACGTCTCATGACTTACTGAGGAGGTACACTCATGAGTCTCCAGGATCACAATACTTTCCAAAGCTTGAATTAGATTCAACGGAGCTCCCCCCCCTGCCCCCAAGACCAATGTTGATACAAACATAAACGTGAAAAATCGAACGCGCCGGAAGCTTCTCGTTTGCACAACATCCAATATTAAAATTCCGGGGCAAGGGGATACACATAGAGTAAAGATGAAATCTAAAGCCAGCAGCCAAGTAGTTGCTGAATGGCAATCTGCCTGTGAGACACATGGATTTGCCATTCTCTCTCAAACATTGAGGTCTGTGCTGACGCTTCCGGCAACATGAGCAAGCATCAACCCGTCCGGAAAAGACTCAAGAAAAGCACGCTGGCTGCCAGTACTCCAACATGTTGTGTTTTCATATGTACAAACCTCGAACAAACTCGGAATACACGTCCCATCGGACATTTTACAATGGCAGGAACACTTCAAGTGGCAAAGCTCTGGCATGCTAGTTTTTCATATGTACAAACCTCAAGCAAACCTTGTTCAAACCTCAAATCTATGGGGCCGGACGATGCCAGCAGGTGGGACAGGATTTTAAAGGAAAGTTCAATTAATTTCTTTTTTGCGCGCGGCAACTGTAGGTTTCGTCCGCTGCCTAGAATTGAGGTTTGATTGGGGTTTGTACATATGGAAACACAGCAGATCGAAGGTGTGGTCATGGCATGGCTTTCTCCATAGAATGCGCAGCACAGAGATGTTTTCAAAGTGTGCCTGGAGTTTGTACATATGAAAACACAGCACATGGAAGGTGTCACCAAAAAAGTGCTCATTCCTCAGTGAAATTAGCTGCGCGCAGACATTAACAAGGTTTGTTTGGGGTTTGTACATATGAAAATACAGCAGAAGGAAGAGGAACAAAGCATTGCAGACAAAAACGACAGGTAAAGAACAGATGATCAAGACGTACGGGGAGCGAGCTGCATGCAGATCCGCCTGCATGGATTTCGCGGTGCAAGCATACAACTCCAACTACATAACCTGAAAGCAAATCCAAATCATTGACACGCTTGTCGCCAAATTTCGTAAAGCCCATGATGCCACGCCACAGCATGACACTTTCAAGACACCAAAACAAGCTTCTCCAAACCCCAGCAACTTTGGAGACACTTGGAAGTACCTCTGCAGTTCCGCTGCATCGTCTTGAAGCCTAGAAGGCAGCATGTGTCAACTCATGGATACA